CTGAAATCCCTTGTTTTATCGAATGTACATCCCACCCTGTAGCCAGCAGGGGGCAGAGTGGCGCTCTGTTTAGCTTTAGACTGGCTTTACGGCAGTGAAAGAATTTGCGACCACAACGTCACGAGTGACGTTTCCTCATTCTGCTGAGCGAGGCGCAATGACAGACGTGTAAGAGCTGTGTGTCATTTGTGTGTCCGGTCTACAGAATCACATCATCTACTTGGTACCAATCCTGGTACCTGTAACAATTACCTCCATGATGACTGATTGTTGTGTGTTACATTAGATACAGATCAGACAAATTGAAGAAATGACAACGGATTGAAGATGAATCTTTTTGATGATAGCACTTACCGTGCTATCACGGTAATAACAATCTCCCTCATCTATTCTCTGCAGTCTCAACTTTAATAAAACCACTGACATTCTGTCCTGATGCCTTTAAGTTTACCAATGCATCAACTATCAATCACACCAACGCACACTGTTACTGGGGAAGTTGTCTTAGACACGTTTGGGGGGTGCACCGTTCCTGGAGGTACTGCAATACCAGGTCGATGCGTGGAGTGGACGGAGCAAGCCCCTATTCCATCTCCCTATTCCAAAAATCAATTTAATATATGGTCCCCGGGTAGGGGACGTATCAGATATTAAACTGATAAGAACAGATACTACACTTGATCTTAGCCAAAAGGCCGAGAAGCGATAGCGACATCATGTCGGAGATGAGGAAGTCATTCCCCTCACTGACACTCTCACGGATGGTTTGCAGACTGAACTACAAATTTATTAACCCCAAATAAAACAATAAGAGTGTAAAATTGCGACAATGTACCACCGGTACGATTTTGTTTGCGACATTCACGCTAAACGTGTGTTTGCAAATGCGTCTCCTTGTTCACTTCCGGACACGTGGTGCGCGTTAGTCCAATGCGAGGTAACGTTACAACACCGATAAATATCACGTCTAACTAGCAGACACAATTAAATATCAATTATCTTTATACGAGTATCGGTATATGCTTTCCTAGACGGTTTCAGCTTCAAGTCACTTTAGACCAAAGCTCATTAAATCACTAGTTAAAACCAACGAGCCATTGATGAATAAGAGTGTTGCCACGACCCAGTTTCCATTACGCAGAGTTAAAAACAAAAGACAGTTTAGTTTGATATGCTAATTAGCAGCTAGCATTAGTTTAGCTAACAGTTAGCAAGCTTAATCAAAGAACAGGTGCTGCAGTGAAATAGACCCTTAAATAGACGAAAACAAGTCGGCTTCATTAGAATTGTTAACTTAATAGTGTACACGCTATTATTCCTACAAGAATGGTCTCTTTCTTGAGGCAAAGGGAACTTACTGAAAGTAGTCTTGGTGAACGCTGGTGGGCGACGTGTTCCAGTGGGAGACAGCAGCGGTGTGTTCGGTGCGCTTAAGGAATCCTACATATTATTAGACTTACATAGAAGTGGTTATGAAGGTGGTTATAAATGAATGCACACACAAGATTCAGAACAGACAAAAATTATTAGACAAGAGAGCTCAGGGTATTTTTGAGAACCACAAGTTGGAGCTCAAAGCATAAGACTGTGCTTGATTCCATCTCTCTCTAAATGAGCCGCTCTTTGACCCTTGCATGAAGCAAAACAATGATTATTTCTCTGATTCACTGCTTCCACCTGTCATGTATCTGTCCTTATCCAAAAAGCAGCAACAACTAACTTTCAAATATATATATCTATTTGTCATTTTGAACCTCTGTACTGGTTTTTAGGCTGCTTTGTAAATACTTTGCATTTTTTGGTTGAATATGATGCATCTTTTTGGTCAAATTTGGTATCTTTTTGTTCATTTCTTGCTAGTTTTGTTCATATTACTCAAATATTTTTCTTTGGGGTCACTGTTTCTGCTTCTCTTTGGTGTTGCTGCTTCTCTCTGAGGTCATTTTGTGGTGGCCGGCTGCTCGCTGAGAGATGATTTGCTGGAGTTTGAACGTCGTCCTCCTTCAGCTTGATGCTGCTTCGTGCTGCTCCATAAAACAAGACTAAATGTAAAGTTAGTTCATGATCACACAAAACAAAAGGAGCAAAGGAACTCAGTTACGCTGGGTGTCTCTTTTCTCTTTTCAGTAGGAACATGGACCCGCCCCCTCCTCCTCATGCAAATGACATGTTAATGAGTATCTTTACAACCGTGGGTTTGCCATAAATAGTTTTTTCTAACTTTATTGAGAATCTGGCACAACACAGCGACCTGCAAGTAGCACAGTGTCTTAAATAAAGCAATGTGTGTCTAAATGTGAGGCTTTAGAAATGAACACAAAGGGATTCTGTATTTGTTCAAAGTCTGAAGAGGGCCAAACCGTCCGACCACTAGCCGTCACTGGAAAATGGGTTATCGTTTTATTTGTTGAGGTTATCTAGCATGCGCGGCCGATGCATATGTCCCTATATTGTTTTAGCGTTGCCCTGCGTCTCTGATTATCAACATGTTCCCATCATATCCTATCCCATCATCCCTTCCTATGATGGGAACGGCAGGTTAGCTAAATCTGAAGGCTTTCAGCCAAACGGCTTAACAAAAAATAATAAATGACATCTAAAGCAATATGATAAAAGGTTAAAGATATTTTTCACATGGTTGTATTGAACTTTACATGTATTCTTTTGTAGACAGCGGTTTTCTTTGGCCATTTTTTTCTACTATTTTTTTAATCCTCAAACATGTAAATGATCTTGAAATGTCCATTGAAGGTTTTGTTGATGGATCATGACTGTCCTTGTGGTCCAAAAATACTATTGAAACAGTATACCGTTGACCATTATTCTATTTCCGGACGCCCTTTTTAAACATTACAGGTTATTTAGCTGATGCTTTTATCCAAAGCTACTAAAGCCTAGTTTATGCTTGTGCGTTTTCAGAGAGACGCAAGGACACACAGACGCAAGAGTCCCTTGCGTGTCTTTTCACACCTCCTTGCGTGCGTCGAAAGCTATGCAAGTGACCTTCAAGTCTCCTGCAGCGCACAAGGCTGCGATTGGTCTGCTAACTACATCCTTTACGGAGTCTCACATTTCCGGATTCATAGCACAATACCGCCATTATTAAAACGAAGAATGTTTACGAGAGAACGGATCAGATTGAAGAGCTTTTGTCGGAAGTAATGCGTAAACATGACCGCTAATACAAGCCGTCATTGGCAGACTATAAGGACGTGCGGATGGCCTCTGATTCATGGAGGGGGATCTCCACAAACGCCGGTTTGCCGGTCGAGAGGTGCACAAAGTTGTGGAGGAAAATACGGGACAAATGTGTCCGTGATGAAAAGCAGCAGTGGCGATGCACGGGGCAATAAAGTCTATGATAAATAAATAAACAAACCAACAACTTCCACATACAAAGACGTGACTCTCTAGGTCGTCTTCAACAAAACACTTTACTCCACCTGTTGTTCTGGAGGTGAATTGCTCTGCAACACACGCAAGCCTTTTAGAATCATGAATTGAAACGAGTGCATTGACGCAACGGTGCGTAAATACGCAGACGAGAAGCATCCGCCAGCCTTAACATTACATTTTTAACCCATGGCTTTTACATTTTGCCAAGGAAGCAATTAGGGGTTAGGTGTCTTGCTCAGGGACACTTCGACGTGGAACATGGGGCAGCCAGGACTCGAGCCACCAACCATGTGGTTCCCAGCGCACCCTCTCTACTACGCGCCACGACGACCCCTAAACAAAATCGTATTGTTGAATGTCAAACATAATACCAATTATTGTTTAAAATTATCTCCAAGATCATCAACCAAAAACCAATTCAAACAACAGATACATAATATTCTACCCTTGCTCCATGGATGGGGGAGGAAAGAGAATGTCAATGTGTCCGGAAGAAAGGTGGATGAAGACCGCATTGTCACTGTTGGATCAAAGAAGGTATGAACTTATAAGATTGATGGTAGTTATTGTTGTCGTTAATATCTACTAAACCCAATTCTCTTTTTTTTTTTTTTTTTTAAACTCATAGCCACAAAAGAAAGACCTACAGGACCAATGCATTGCACTTGGGGTCAGTGATGAGGGATCAATCACTTACTTAATTAACAAGTTGGAAGAGCTTCTGAACTTCAGAGGTTTATCCAAAACTATTTCTGAAGCTACAGATAAAAAAAATTAAAAAAGTCTCACCTCCAGTTATCTTGAATACGCTTATGTTTTTATTTAATTAACAGGTGGTATATTGCATTTCTCCTGCACTCATGGAGTAGTTTACTACGTAAACTTCCTGTTGTGGGCAGTCTGCCAGTGACCACGTTGATGGACTGCTTAGCTTCAAAGCATTTCCCACATGCTTCATATCAGAGGTTTCTGTAGCCAGACACACGAACAATTGAAGCAAACAACCGTTTTTCCAACCGAATGAAGGACGCTTGTGTCCCCAAACAAAGGAGAACTTGGCACTTGCTTCAGAGAAAAAATTGGAGCTGAAAATGCCGCGGGTGAACAACCTAAGCGGTCATTCCCTCGTTGGACCATCGCCAGAAGATGCCAATCCGTGGATGTTGGCCCATCCTGTCACAAAAACTACAGAAGGACATGCTCTCTATGACCGGTTTCATCCAAAAAAAACAAAAGCGAAAAAAAAAACCTAGTAATTCAATATGTTAAGATGTGATGTTATATAACATTTATATCTGTAAATATTCGAGTGCATTATATTATGTTACATTTAAGGGGGACTCTTCCCCGCTGTCGGCTGAACTGCTTCCATCTTGAATACATTAAATCCTCGTCGGCCCGCACTGCACGATGGGATATGCTGGGCTGCAAAGGGCGAATCAGATGTGTCCTCCAAATCGGGTCCTGGAGGGCTGCGTCCCTCTGGATCGCAGCAGCATCAACCAGATGTTCTTTGTGCTGCAGTACAGGCCGATGCTCCAGTAAGTTCTTTACAGCTGGTTGAACTGCTGCGGCTGCTTCTCGTGCTCCTCCACTTTGTTCCAGACTTCAAGGACCTCGTTCCTCTGCTCAGCGGAAAGAGTCAGCTGGTCTGATTTATAGCACAGCAGAACTTTTCCAGCCTTTCGAAGCAGGTTTTGGAGTGTTGACAAGCTATCATATAAACTTATAATAATGAGCACATTGTCCAGCAATCAATGCCTCATATTTTATTCTACCAGATTTACATATACTCACAGATGCTGGAGGGTGAACACTGGGGTTTCATTGCTGGTGAGGTTAATGTGGGGCAGGATGGCACGAGCCTCCCCGTCGCTCTGGTACGCCTCGTCGGCCCCTGGATCTGGATCGGGCTGCCCATGCTGAACCTCCTCTTTTGGACAAGGTCCATCCTTGACGGTGTCCTTCAGAGAGAAGGGTCCGTACCCGTGCTCTGCCTGAACGGGTATTCCAACCACAGCAGCTGGTCAGAGGGACATTGGCATGGCCCCGGACATCCTCGTCCAGTCTCTCCAAACCGAAGCCGGTGTTACGTCCCTACTGTTTTTGTTTTTTTCAAACCTACTGGTTTGCCTACGCGTGCATGTTTGTGCTCACCTAACAGCGGCAGATGTTGTCTGCCTCGGTCACCTGAGTCGTCACAATCGCAAACATATTGCTGATAACTTTCAGAATGAATCACATATCCATTGCGGCGATTACAATTGTATAAGTGAGCACTACTCCACTGCTACGTGTGAAGAACTATCCTGCTAATTTCAACCGGAATCAGCAATACGTTCTTAAAAGACAAAGTGATAAGCAAGGCCACCCATACGACTGTATGGTATCATTTCCTAACGATTTTTAAAATTTGATTTCAAATGTAATATAAATCCCTAGATGGGGAACTTTATTACCAGTGCCGCAGAAAAAAAAGAAAAAAAAGTTGAGCAGCGTCATCATCTTGCCAAAGTTATAGTTACTGAACTAGAAGCGAACATCTTTGTGAGGTTTCATGCCAGCGATATTCGGGCTCATTGTGGTATTGAAAAAAAATTGCACTCGTGCCTAATCAGCTCATCTCAGTTGCACCTGCTGCCAACATGACGTCAATATAAGCAGGAAAATAAAAGGAGCGTCAAGCCAACACATATACCAATACAATATATCCTCAATATAAGAAAGTCCAATTAAACAATATACACACACTTCAGGCTCTTACACGTACAGTATTGTTGGTGTTAAGCTTTGGTTTGCATTTTCAGATCTAGGCCCCTTCTAAGGCCCTTTGAACTTGTGGGAATGGATCTAGTTAGCAAGCTGAAATGCACCAACAATGGTTATATGTACATATGTGTGATGGTGGAGTACTTTACAAAGTGGCTAGAAGTCTACCCGCTAAAAGCAAAGGGGAGCAGAAGTCACACTGTGCATGATTGATTTCTTTTACAAGTATGGCGCCCCAAAACGCATTCTGACCGACCGTGGCAAAGAATTAGTCAACAAAGTAAGTTTAATTCTGAGACAAATAACATTTGTGTATTTGTTTTTGTCACATCAACAATGGAAAAAGCACCATGTTTTTTCCCCTCTATGCATATTCTAGATAAACACAGGATTGTGTGAAAATCTTGGCATTGCCAGAAGCCTGTGTGCTCCCTACCACCGTCAAACCAATGGCTTGGTGGAAAATCTAAATGTCACAATTCAAGGGTAAAAATAGGACTATTCTACTAAATATATTCAGATAAAACCGCTTGTGATATACTATCCATGGAGAATGACTGATTTCCTTTTTGTTATTTCAGAGCTGTGCAGAAAATTGAGCAGGACCACCCAAGTGACTGGGACAAATTCATACAGCCAACTGTATTTGGACTATGAACAAAAAAGCAGTTAACAACGAAATACTCCTTATTTTTTAATGTATAGTCGGGAGGCGCGTTACCCGTCTGAAATACCAGATAAGTGGAAGGTATGATGGCCTTTTACAGCACTACAAGCTGGTTATAATTTTATAGTTTATTGCAGGTGCAAGAAGGTCCTTTAACCCTTTAAAGTGGCAACAGTAGCACTTTTAACTGACAAATATCCAACCGCGTCGGCTGTACTGCCTTTAAAACACCTTCTGCTCGCTCAACTGTCCGAGATGAAGACAAAGATCATCAACGATCTGGAGAAGCGGTATAGCGAGGAAAGGATGCATTTATGCTGCTTAACAAAGAGTTATCTGGATGCACACTTTCATCGCCTCATTCATTTAAAGATGAAACAAGTGAATGTGGCAGGCAGTGAGGCGGCTGGCGCACAATGCTTTGATCACCGTTTCACAATGAGGAAAACATCGAGGATCATTCAAGGTTTGAGTGGTCGACGGCGTAGCACAGCATTCTTGAAACGTACTTCGTTCTGAACATTCTCAGCAATCTGTTTGCGAATGTGTGACAAATCAGGTGACACAAGCAGACAACATCTGCCGCTGTTAGGTGAACACAAATGTGTAGGCAAACCAGTAGTTTAAAAAAACAGTAGGGACGTAACACCGGCAGCAGGTGTTGAGGCCGTCCTGTCCTCTGAGGTCAAACACGGCGTCTGAGATCCCGTTGGTATTCCACCGAGCAACGGCGCTCATCAGGTGAACTTGAGGGGGCCGTGCTGCACAACGGGGACCTGAGAAAAGGAAAAACTTTAATGCCAATTTGTCTTGATGACGCCACACAAGAAAACAGCTGGAACATAAAGAGAACCACCATATTAACACGTTCATAAGTTATGTATCACGCATCACAATCATCAATTTATTCAATGCGTCACACACCAAAGCCATGGTGTATTTTCATTTATTGTACACTTGATGGCGAAGTAGATCAAAAGAAGCACCATGAAACTGTGACACAATTGGATGGAAAGCTTCCATGCGTCAAGTTTCATCTCACCGTTACTACAGCAGACTCATAAGGACATGATATGTTGCTTCCAGAGACTTGAAGCAGAGGAGCACAATAACTGCTTCTCCCATCCTGGATGGTCACTGATAGTTTATTCCTTTGACATGTTATCAGGGGAGAGCGCGAACGCAGTCCCCCACTACCAGAAATTATGCAATCGAGATTCCCACATTTGGGGAATTCGCAGAGGTCAGCTCAACCGGAGTGCAATGGCTGAGCCTCGCCCTGGGTGAACCACCTTCTTGATCATGGTATCTCCCTTGCCAGGTAAGTATGAGTTGTACACATCAGAGTCAGGGCAGTCTTTCACACACACACCAAGCTGACCGATGGTGCCGACCATCACGACAACCACAAACACAACACACACTAGAAGAGCTCCAACAACCTGCAGGAAGTTCATGTAGAGTAAAGTCGTATTTACCAGGGGGGACAAAGATAATATACGTTTTACTTGATAAACGATGCTATCATTTCCCATGATGCAATGCTGTATTTTCAAAAGAAAAGACAACCTAAAATCGCCAGCTGCATCTATTTATCTCCAACAAATGAGTGACAATTCAACAGAAGGTTCACATGAGACAAAGCAAAACTGCAATCAAAAGTGATTTGTTCCTCATCTGGAATTCAAAGGAAAGAATAAAATTACAAATGCATTTCAACCACTTCCTGTTTCTTTGTGTACTGCTTGTGCTCTACTCACACACTGACACCTATTGGTCTGGAGTAGTAATCGCACTACATGTTTCTCATAGATACACAATCATGTCCAGTTCTTAATTGAATTGTGACACCCACCAATGTGTTTACACACGTGTGTCAATGTCTTAAGTGAACAGTATATTGTATAGAAATGTTCTAACCAGGGAACTGAAATCCCTTGTTTTATCGAATGTACATCCCACCCTGTAGCCAGCAGGGGGCAGAGTGGCGCTCTGTTTTGCTTTAGACTGGCTTTACGGCAGTGAAAGAATTTGCGACCACAACGTCACGAGTGACGTTTCCTCATTCTGCTGAGCGAGGCGCAATGACAGACGTGTAAGAGCTGTGTGTCATTTGTGTGTCCGGTCTACAGAATCACATCATCTACTTGGTACCAATCCTGGTACCTGTAACAATTACCTCCATGATGACTGATTGTTGTGTGTTACATTAGATACAGATCAGACAAATTGAAGAAATGACAACGGATTGAAGATGAATCTTTTTGATGATAGCACTTACCGTGCTATCACGGTAATAACAATCTCCCTCATCTATTCTCTGCAGTCTCAACTTTAATAAAACCACTGACATTCTGTCCTGATGCCTTTAAGTTTACCAATGCATCAAGTATCAATCACACCAACGCACACTGTTACTGGTGAAGTTATTTTAGACACGTTTGGGGGGTGCACCGTTCCTGGAGGTACTGCAATACCAGGTCGATGCGTGGAGTGGACGGAGCAAGCCCCTATTCCATCTCCCTATTCCAAAAATCAATTTAATATATGGTCCCCGGGTAGGGGACGTATCAGATATTAAACTGATAAGAACAGATACTACACTTGATCTTAGCCAAAAGGCCGAGAAGCGATAGCGACATCACGTCGGAGATGAGGAAGTCATTCCCCTCACAGACACTCTCACGGATGGTTTGCGGACTGAACTACAAATTTATTAACCCCAAATAAAACAACAACAGTGTAAAATAGCGACAATGTACCACCGGTACAATTTTGTTTGCGACATTCACGTTAAACGTGTGTTTGCAAATGCGTCGCCTTGTTTACTTCCGGACACGTGGTACGCGTTGGTCCAATGCGAACTAACGTTTCAAGGTCGATACATTTCACGTTTAACTAGCAGGCGCATTTCAATATCAATTGTCTTTATAAGAGTATCGGTATATGCTTCCCTAGACGGCGTCTCACACCGACGATGAAAACCCTCCGTGCTCCGTGTACGGAACTCACCCAGAGGACAGAAACCGCGGCCACAACGGAGAGGAGACGTGTGGTTTACATTACACGTGCAGTCCACACTGAAGTTATAAGCCGCTGTAAAAGCAGAATAAGTGCGCAGTAATAATTACGAGTTCCGCTACCTCGACGGGAAAAAGCGCTGTAACAAAGGCGAACAACGTTAGCAGTGTCCACGATACCAGCACACATGTGCCTAATTATGTTTGAGGAAAGAGACATTATTAACCTTCATTATATTACCACTTAAGCACTGCATTGGCATGTTAGTTTAACTAATAATTAACTAGTACAGTGTGACGGTAACTAACGTGGAGCCGAGTCCTGACGTGTCGTTAACAGTCAGTTAGCCGCTTATCGCCATGTGGTCAGTTTTCAGCTTCTGAAAGTCACTTTAGACCAAAGCTCATTAATTCACTAGTTAAAACATTGATGAATACTAGTGTTGCCACGACCCAGTTTCCATTACGCAGAGTTAAAAACAAAAGACAGTATAGTTTGATATGCTAATTAGCAGCTAGCATTAGTTTAGCTAACAGTTAGCAAGCTTAATCAAAGAACAGGTGCTGCAGTGAAATAGATCCTTAAATAGACGAAAACAAGTTGGCTTCATTAGAATTGTTAACTTAATAGTGTACACGTTATTATTCCTACAAGAATGGTCTCTTTCTTGAGTCAAAGGGAACTTACTGAAAGTAGTCTTGGTGAACGCTGGTGGGCGACGTGTTCCAGTGGGAGACAGCAGCGGTGTGTTCGGTGCGCTTGACCGTGTGCACAACGAGCTTTAGCTGTTAGCAGCTAGCTTTAGCCCAACTATCTACACACACCTTTATTTTAGCCAAGTGCACATTGACATATACAACGTGTTCCTGTTAGGGAATCCTACATATTATTAGACTCACATAGAAGTGGT